ACAGGGGGATGGGGATGGGGACACGGGGATGGGGACAGGGGTACAGGGACAGAGAGATGGGGATGGGGACACGGGGATGGGGACAGAGGTACAGGGATAAGGACAAGGAGATGGGGATGGGGACAGGGAGACGGGGATGGGGACAGAGAGATGGGGATGGGGACATGGGGATGGGGACAGGGAGACCGGGATGGGGACAGAGAGATGGGGCTGGGGACATGGGGATGGGGACATGGGAATCACAGATATGGGGATGGGGACACAGGGATGGGGACAGGGGGATGGGGATGGGGACATGGGGATGGGGACAGGGGTACAGGGACAGAGAGATGGGGATGGGGACACGGGGATGGGGACACGGGGATGGGGACAGGGGTACAGGGATAAGGACAAGGAGATGGGGAGGGGAACACGGGGATGGGGACATGCGGATGGGGACGTGGGGATGAGAACAGGGACGTGGAGATGGGATGAGGACACGGGGACGGGGACGCGGGGACGGGAGGGCCCCACCTTGTCGGCGGCGTAGTGGCCCTTGTCGAGCAGCGCGGTGCCCATGGCCACGCAGGCGTCGAAGCTGTCGGCCCGCGCCTCCACCTCCGCCTTGATGCTCTGGTGGTTCTTGATCACCAGGTCGGCCGAGGACACGTCCCTGCGCCGGGGACGGGGGCACGGTCAGTGTCCCCGCGGTGCTGTCGCCATCCCGGCACGCGCCCCCGGTCCCGGCGGCGGGTCCCCCCCTCACCGCGGGCGCTCCTGGCCCTCGATCTGCAGGCGGACGCCGTCCATCCAGAGCAGCAGGTCCCGCACCGCCCGCAGGAAGCGGAACTTGTCGACGGTGTCGAGGAGCAGCCGGCGTCGGCCCTGGCTGCTGCTGCGCAGCTCGGCCCAGGCCTCGCTCACCGCCTGCTCGTGCCGGCGGATGTCGGCCGCCTTCTCCCCGGCGTACGCCTTCTCCAGCCGCGCCGCGTCCTCCTGCACCTGGCGCACCTGCGGGCGCATGGAGGTGAGGCTGTGCCGCGCCCTGCCGCGCCGTACTGCGATGCGTCGTGCTCTACGGTACTGCGCCATGCTGTACCATACAGCGCCAGGCTGCGCCGTGCCGGGCTGCAGTGTGCCGTACTGAGCCGCACCACATGCCACGCTGTGCCACACGGTGCTGTGCCGCGCTGCGCCGTGCCGGGCTGCAGCGTGCTGTGCCGCACCACGCCATGCTGTACCGCACCATACCACGCTGCCGTGCTATGCAGGGCTGCGCCGTGCCGGGCTGCACTGTGCTGTGCCACGCAGGGCTGTGCCGTGCCGGGCTGCAACGTGCCATGCCATGCACGGCTGCACTGTACTGGGCTTCACCATGCTGTGCCACACAGGGCTGCACCATGCGGTGCCATGCAGGGATGCACCGTGCCAGGCTGTGCCGTCCTGTGCCGCGCTGTGCCATGCAGGGCTGCACCGTGCCAGGCTGCACCGTGCTGTGCCACGCAGGGCTGTGCCATGCCAGGCTGCACCGTGCTGTGCCATACTGCACTGTGCTGTGCCATGCAGGGCTGCACCGTGCCAGGCTGCACCGTGCTGTGCCATACAGGGCTGCATCGTGTCGTGCCGCACTGTGTCATGCTGCATCATGCTGCACTGTGCCGTTTCACAGCATGCCACGCCGTGCTGTGCCGTCCCGTGCCGCGCCACGCCGCCGCCCCGCCCCCTGCCACGCCGTCCCCCGCGCCGCACGGCTCACCTGGGCGCTCAGGGCCTGGATGTCGTGCTCGTAGGTGGTGTGCATGCGCTGCATGGCCTCGGCCGTGTTCAGGTCGCGGCCCACCTCGTCCGGCAGCTGCTTCTGCTTGTGCTGCACCTGGGCCAGGGTCTCGCGGGCATCGTGGTAGAACCGGTGCAGCTCGTAGGAGGCCGCCAGCATCTGCGACCGCGTGTCGATCAGCTCCAGCAGGTCGGCCCAGGCCTCGTTCAGCCCGTCCTTCCACTCGGCCACCGTGGCGTTCTCCGAGTGCCCCGCCGCGATCAGCGTGTCCGCCAGCCCGTTGACGCCGTCCACCCGCTCCTGCCCGATGCTGCTCGTGTCCCGCGAGAACTCCCTGAACTTATCCCGCAGCATCTGCGGGGAGGGGACGAGCCGCGTCGGGGACGGCAGGGAGGGGACACGGGGACGCCCCGGCGCCCTCCCGCCCCGTCCCCGCACCGTGACGTGCTCGTAGTCCTGGCCCAGCTCGTGGGAAGCGGCCACCACCTCCCGCTCCGAGATCCACTGCTCCAAGTCGTCCACGTCGCGTTTGAGCTGGCAGAGCCGCTGGTGTTCCTGCAGCGTGGCCCGGCGCTCCTCCGCCAGGTCCTTCAGGCTGGCGTAGAGCTTGTCCACCTGGCCCTGGCGCAGCGTCAGCCGCTCGCTGCGGGCACGGCGCTGTCAGCTCCGGCGGCACCGGGCACCCGCTCCCGGGGAACGATGTGTGCAGGGGTGCGAGGTGGCGGGGGGACACAAGGGCCTCAGGGGACAATGGATGTGGGGATGGGAGGTGGCAGGGGGGACACAGGGTCCCCGAGGGACGATGGATGTGGGGCTGGGGGTGACAGGGGGGACACAGGGTCCCCGAGGGACGATGGATGTGGGGCTGGGGGTGACAGGGGGGACACAGGGTCCCCGAGGGACGATGGATGTGGGGCTGGGGGTGACAGGGGGGACACAGGGTCCCCGAGGGACGATGGATGTGGGGCTGGGGGTGACAGGGGGGACACAGGGTCCCCGAGGGACGATGGATGTGGGGCTGGGGGTGACAGGGGGGACACAGGGTCCCCGAGGGACGATGGATGTGGGGCTGGGGGTGACAGGGGGGACACAGGGTCCCCGAGGGACGATGGATGTGGGGCTGGGGGTGACAGGGGGGACACAGGGTCCCCGAGGGACGATGGATGTGGGGCTGGGGGTGACAGGGGGGACACAGGGTCCCCGAGGGACGATGGATGTGGGGCTGGGGGTGACAGGGGGGACACAGGGTCCCCGAGGGACGATGGATGTGGGGCTGGGGGTGACAGGGGGGACACAGGGTCCCCGAGGGACGATGGATGTGGGGCTGGGGGTGACAGGGGGGACACAGGGTCCCCGAGGGACGATGGATGTGGGGCTGGGGGTGACAGGGGGGACACAGGGTCCCCGAGGGACGATGGATGTGGGGCTGGGGGTGACAGGGGGGACACAGGGTCCCCGAGGGACGATGCCAGCAGGGACAGGGGGTGTCAGGGGATGCCTGTCCCCTGTGGAACAATGCCGGCGGACCCAGGGACGTCACCCACCTCTCGGGGTGCCCGCTGGCCACCATGTCACGGCTCTGCACCGAGAGCTGGTGCACGGTGTGGGCATAATCCCGCAGCGCCTGCTCCAGCACCAGGTGCTTGCTGACCATGGCCTGGGCGCTCAGCTCGTCCTGGGGGGGTCACAGTGGCTCAGTGACGGGGAGACGCGGGGCTGGGGGGGGGAAACACCGCCCCCGGGGCCGCACCTTGGCCTTCTCCTGCGACATCATGTGCAGCTCCTGCTCGCCCATCCAAGCCCCG